CTAATTCATGCACATCTCAGTACACACCATTGTCTTCACCTCTCAGTTTGACTCTGCTTTTACAACGGTGGTGTTCTATTCTTCTGCCACTCTCTCCCATATCACTCATATCCAACCAGTTCAACACAGTTGTAGGAAACCATGTAAATTGTGTTAACTGGGTCTCATCTTAATTTTTGTTGGGGCATAGGGGGGATTGAACTCAGGGGTACTTTACCACTGAGCTACATACATTCCCAGCCCCTTTTATTTTTTATAAAAAAGCAAAGGCTGGCCTCAGAGTTTGGGTATGTCAAACTCCTGCTTCAGTCCCTTAAATTGCTGGGGTCACAGGCACATGCCATCATACCTGGCCTTCTTAAATTTATAACCACAGCAAGGAATGGGATATAGCTCAGTGGTAGAACACTTCTGGGTTCAATTTCAAATACTACAAAAAAAATTATAACCACAAACCCTAAATGAGAACTTGTGCTGCCAGACAATCCTAAAGCACTTCCTTACTCAACTCATTCTTTCCCACTCTCCTAGATGAATTTTACACTTCTTTTCCCTCAAACATCCAACACTTTCCCACCCTTCACTTTGAGCTGAAGACCTTCCATCTTATTTATCTGAGAATATAGATATATTTGGAAAAGAACTTCATATATTCTCGCCCCCAAACTACCAACACACCAGTACTTGAGTTCATATAATCTGCTACTGACAAAATGTCCTTATGGAGATTGAGGCCAACATATATATTTGTTTACTGGTTCCCATTTCCTCTTACCTATTTTCAAGGATTTTACCCCTTCAAGAGTCCCTTCTTTATATTTAATCAATTTATCTTCCCTACTGCACCATTCTCAGTAATTTATATATAAGCAACAATCTGTCCACCTAAAAACAAAAGATAATTTTTTTTTTTTTTAGTTTGTATTGGAGATTGAACACAGCGGTGCTTTACCACTGAGTTACAATCCCAACCTTTTCATTTTTTATTTTGAGCCAGGGTCTTGCTAAATTGCTTAGGGCTTAACCAAATTGTTGAAGCTGACCACGAACTTGCCATTCTCCTGCCTCAGCTTCCTGAGTTGCTGGGATTATAGGTGTGTACCACTGTGCCTGGCTAAAAAATGCATAATAACTCATGACCTTCCAATTACAGTCCTATTCTTCAGCTCTCCCTTACAACAATCATTCCCCCCCACAAACACATTTTATTCGTACATTATAATCATACATAATGGTGAGATTTGTTGTTATATATTCATATACACAAGAATGTCACTATGACACTCTTCAATTCTTCTCATTTCCTCTTGACTCCACAGTACCAAAATTGTTCTTGTCAAGGTCATCAATGACCTCCACATTATCAAATCTAATAGTTTATTCTTAGTTCTCATCAGACAATTAACAGTATTATTTGACTTTTGATTCTACTACTTGATTCTGTCCTTGATTCTACTCTTGCCTCAGTGGTAGAAAACCATTTTTCTTCAGAATTTGGAAAACAATGTTACACTGTTTTTGTTTTGTTTTTTTAACCTTTTCACTCTTCTCTTACTTTACACAGGCACTATCCCAGGGCTTGGACATTACTCTGCTCTGTGTAATCACTCCCTGGATCGCTATTTAGTCTGCTGGCTTAAATAAAAACTTGGGAGTCACCAGCATATGGACAATATCTCCATAGTCCCAATCACTCTTGACACCAGACCATGATCATTTTGAGTTGCCTAATAGATATCTAATTGCCTTATTTGTCTGTATCCATGGCATCCAACATGGATTATTTGCTTAAAGAGGTTGTGAAATTTAAATTGTTAAATAAGTCCCAAGCAGGAATCTGTTAAAAAAATTTTTTGGCAGTAGGAAAGTATATTTCAGCCAGATTTCCACCAATTTCTTAATACTAGTCCAGATAGACTACATTATATTTTAGTAATAATTTCAAAATTCCAGTGGCATTTCAACTTTTCCTCACTCTTTATACTCTGGTCCTACACTGATACAGTAACCATGATTTGGAGCAAGAGCCATCATGATAGAAGGAAAAAGAATGACAAATTACATACTAGAAGCTTTTATCATGAAGGACTACACATTTTTACTACACACATTTCACTGACCTAAAGCAATATACGGGCCATATCCAACTTCAAAGGGGCAGGCAAGTACAATTCTACCAGAGGGTTAGGAGACAGAAACAAAAAATTATCTGATGGACAGCACTGATGACTATCATATACTTAAAAGGAAATCTCTAATTCTGAGCAACAATATTTTAACTCCTGAGCTCCATTCCCTTACTAGAAGAGAACCATGCACTTGTAAATGCTATCTATGGATTTTTAGGAATGTAACTTCACCAGTTAGGCCTGCCTCTTTCATCACTCAGGAGTCAGAGAGCCGCAAAGAAGCCAAATATGGGTGACAGGAAAGTGCTGAGCCCAAACCTGGTAGGAACATTCAGTGTCAAAAGTGAGGGAAAGGGCCTGGGGCAGTAGCTCAGTGGTAGAGCACAAGCGTGAAGCACTGGGTTCGATCTTCAGCACCACATAAAAAAATAAAAATAAAGGTATTATGTCAACCTACAACTAAAAAATAAATGTTTTTTAAATAAATTAACAAACAGATATCGTGTGTCCATCTACTACTAAAAAAATATATTTTTTAGTTATACATGGATACAACATCTTCATTTTGTTTATTTATTTTTATGTGGTGCTAAGGATCAAACCCCAGGTTTCACACATGCGAGGTGAGCGCTCTACTGCTGAACCACAACCCTAGCCCCTAAAAAAAATATTAAAAAAAAAAGTGAGGGAAAGGTTGATGTTGTGACATACACCTATAATCCCAGAGATTTGGGAGGCTGCAGCAGGAGGTTAGCAAGTTCATGGACAGCTTCAGCAACTTAGTGAGACCCTGTCTCAAAATAAAAAATAAAAAGTTGGGGATGTGACTCAGCACCCCCCCCCCATTCAATCCCCAGTACCAAAAAAAAAAAAAAAAGGTTGGGGGAGGTTTGAATATGTAAGGAAAGAAGTTCAACTAGAAGTGGGGAAAGAAGGAAAACCTTCACCAAATTTCTTTGACCAAAGGTATAGAACAACTCAGGCCTTGGTGTTCCTTTCACTATCCAGGTCTGAAGTCTAACAAGTTTCATGCAAACCACTTGATGAAAGACTCAGAATTTGGGTATGTCTAATACAAGACAGACAACATACTTCTTTTTAACATAAAATGCTATCTTTAAAGAAAATCAACAAAATGCATACTGCTATGTTACTAGAAACAAGACGGCTGCAATTACTTTAGAGATGAATTTTTACCATAAAGTTGATTCCCCACCCCTCCCCACCCCTCCCAGAAATCTCAAAAAACTCAAATAACAATTCCTGAGTTCAAGATGATCTGGGATAAACCCCTAAGTCTACAAAGAGCTGGATTTAAGGGATGGCTGCTCCAAGTTCTAAATTTCTATACAAAGTTCAAATACTTTCAAACAGTGAAACCATCTGGCATAAACATTGGGATGGATTGGAGATGGTTACCATAATCAACTGAACACTTGAAACTGTAAAGCTTAGAAGGAATTTCATTGAAAGGCAAAGAAATTCCCCTAACAATGAATTAGAAGTAAATAAGGACTCCTAAATGCATCATTTCATTACCAACTAGTCCCTTCTTCCATCCTCTATTCATTCAACAAACATATATTAGTTGCTGGGATGTGGGAAGGAATTCCAGGAAGTAAAGGAGGAACAGAATTCTAAGAATGAGTTCTTGCTTTCCATGAATTTGGTCTAGTTAAAACAACGGCCCCCCCCCACAAAAAAAAAAAGGTTTGGCAAGCAAAAAAAAAAAAAAAAAAAACACCCCACCTTAAGTACCATAACAAGAATATAGGAAAAACCATTTAACCTAAGTTAATAAGCTTTCAAGGGAAAAAAGCCATATTCGCTTTGTTAAGTGGCTGGGATAAAGAAAATGCAAACAAACAAAAAACCCTCGTCTGGTTTAATGACAGTTTATCAGCACTAAAGCTCATTGCTAGCTCTCCCTCCCAATCAAAGATCTCTGCTGCAGCCCCTCCATCATTCCAACCTCCACACTCTTCTTGCAGCCCAATACCAGGCCGGTCATGAACAATGGCCAGACTATCAAGGTCAGCCCCAAAGACACAGGGAATAAAAACTGGAAACGGATCCTTTTATACAAAAAGGAGGCAAAAGAATCCTCTCCAACGCCAGCCCCCACACCATACCAAGACAGCTGGAGGCTGTCTCTAGGCTCAGGGATCTGGCATCAGGAGCTTTCGGGGGTTCCGGACCCTCTTTTCCCTCCCCATCCAGTTAATTTCCACTCCTGCGACCCTTATTGCCCTCCATCTCCCTCCAATCTGAGCTCCCCATCGTGGACTGAGGGGGTGTCCTGCTTCAGGCTGGGGCAGGGGGAGGTGGGAAACACGCAATAAGGGAGATGCTCTCGGTGTGTATGTAGTGGGCAGGGGTGCTCTTTAGGGGAGCCACTGTCACGGGCAAAGGCTCTAGACACCTACAATAGCCGGGGTTTATAGGTAAGCGGTTTCTGAGCGGAACGCATTCAGGGTTCTATTTTAGGGAAGCTATTGTGTGTAGGAGCGAGAGACTTCAGAGAGAGCTGTTTCTATTCCACCACCAGAGCAACTGAGTTATCCAGAGGGAAGACACTGCGGGTTCTCTAAAGGACGCCCTCTCCTAAAGGAAAACGTTCTACGGGGATGGGGATGTCACAATAGCGGGGGTCTTCACAGAGAACCGTTGCAGGGTTGTCCGTAGCGAAGCCATTAAGGGGACTGACTCTATAGAGGGCGCCTTCCGGGGAAACGTTTCTCCAGGAGCCGTTTTAAGAATCGTCCGCAAGGAAGCCATGTCGGGCCACGCCCTGCGGCTGGAGGCGTCGCCGGACCCCGACATCCCGCATCCCCCGCCTGGCCGCCCCTCTGCGGCCTCGGGCCCGCGTACCTGACGGAGGGCGACCCGCGGCCGGAGCTGCCGGGGAACCGTGAGCGGGGCAGCCCCAGCTGGTGCACGGGGTATATGTCCATGGCGGCAGGCTGCGGAGGAGGACCGTGCCACTGTGAGGGTCGTTAAGGCCCGCCGGGCGGCTCCAGGCCCTCTGCGGCCGGGCGGGGCGGAGGGGTGTGCCGGGTGGGAGGGGGCGCGGCGCGCGGGGGCACGTCGAGAGGCGGGGCGGACGCAATCCGGGGCGCGGACGGGGGCGTCGGGACGGCCCCGGAGTGGGGGGCCAATGGGAGGCCGCAGGGCCCCGCCCTATTTAGACAGCGAGGCGGTCGGGCGGGACGTTGCGGGCAGGAGTACCCGGTATGAGAGATACCTGGGAGCCGCTCTGCCCTGTTATAAGACCCCGGATAATCGAGTGAGACTCTGCCCGGCGCCCCCCAGCCACGCATACGGACGCTTCTGGGGGCGGAGTCTCTCTCCAGCCCCGCCCCATCAGTTCAGGCTTCCAGTGAAACCTTCCGCTGCACCTTCTGGAGCTGGGGCACTTCCCCGCTCCTGGCTTTCATCGCTGGGACACCCGGGCCGGTGCCGCGCTGCTCTCTCCTCAAGGGCTGCTTATCAATTGCGCACCCACCCTCCAAACACCCCGCAGATTCCTAGCAGCCCTCCCATTAGCAGTGCTCACCCAGCCCTGCGCAGGGCCTGAGCAATAGGGGCTCAGGCTCTCAGCCAAGGACCCCGGCCCTTTGCTCTTCAGATTCTGGCTCGACCCGCTTCTGACTGCGGGGCCAAAGACCAGTCCTTTTCTCTGTAAAATTGGGGAAATATTTTATTGGTAGGATTACCAGGCATCCTGTATGTACAAGATCTACTTAATGATTTCGTTCTGTGTCGTGGATTGACTTTGTCAGGATGTTTTAAATTCCCTGTATTCATCTTTTAACAATTACAATAATTCGCTAGAGCTATTTTTTCCACCACAATAATTGGCCTTTCCATCACTTAAATGACGGCACTGGCTGAATATTCTCCTTCCATATAAAGCTCTTGACTATCCCTGTGGCGTCTCCGGCATATTTCGCTGAAGGAAGACCAAATAGTACAAATTTAAAGTACATGTTTTACAAATTCAAGAAAGGAAAAGACTTTTTTGATTCAAATCCCAATACTGAACAAGTAACCACCATTCGAGATAACTTCACATTAGTACACATGCTCTGAAAATCAGCCAATCAGCGACAGCCTCACTCCAGGGGTTTAGCTTCTGAAAACCAGCCAGTCCTCTACAGCTTCTAAAAGTAAATCAGTGACAGGCCCACGCTTCTGAAAATCAGCCAGTCATTGACAGCTCTCGGTTTCTAGACACTAGCCAATGAGCAATTGCTTCACACCAGTGACTAGGCTTCAAAAGCCCGTCCTCAGCTGCCTTGTTGAAGTAACCACACTGTCTAAAACAGCTGAATCTGTTAATTGCTAAATGTGCCAACTTCTTGGAAGACCACCAGTCCCTACAGGCCAGACTTCCTAAAACTTTAAGTAAGCCCTGGCATTGTTCAGAGACTGTCCCTTGCAAGCAGATGAGAAATTCGTCTTTGGCTTTTTTTTTTTCCCCCATCACATTGAGTTCAACTTTGTTGTTTTCCCACAAGTTGGAAGTTTGCAAATCTTTCAAGATTCAATTCCCATTTATAGTTAAGTATGAGTTTGGATTTGTGTCAGATGAAGTGATGCAAGCCATGAGACTCATCAAATACAACTTTTCCAATTCTTGTTGTGTTCATTGTATTAATTTTTAAAAGTACCACAATTATGTTTAGAACTCCTCCACCTCCTTGTTACTAAGCATTGATTGAACCCAGGGTAACTCTACCACTGAACTACATTCTCAGCCCTTTTCATTTTCATTTTGAGACAGTCTTGCTAAGTTGTGAGGGATGACTTCCAATTTGAGATCTCCTGTCTCAGTCTCCCGAGTCGCTGAAATTGCAGGCCTGAGCTACCATGCTGGGCCATTTTTAGAATATTTTTATTATACTAACAGGAAACTCTGTACTTATTAGCATTCATTTCCCATTTTCCCCCAACCACCCCAGCCACCGGCAACCATCAATCTTTCTCTGAATTTGCCTATTATGAGTATCTCATATAATCAGAATCATACAGTCTGTGGTCTTTTGTGACTGGCTTCTTCCATTTAGCATAATTTTTGTAAGGTTTACCCGTGTTGTAACATGGATCAGAATTTTTCTTCCTTTTCCTTTTTATGTTTGAAAAATATTCCATTATATGAATACCACACACTGTGCTTATCCATTTATCAGTTAATGGATATTTGGGTTGTTTCCACCTTTTTTTTTCTTTTTCTTTTTTTTTTTTTTTTTTTACTGCTTTTTAGCTAATACTAGTAGGAACTTTGTTATAAATTTTTGCATAGATATACATTTTTAGTGCTCTTGGAAAACTATGTTTAATATTTTGAGGAATTCCAAACTGTTTTCCAAAGAGAGAGCACCATTTATATTCTCACTAGCAAGGTCTGAGGGTTCAAATTTCTCCACATCTATCTCTTTGGTTGTGGTAAGCTCAGTGGATATGAAGCCGTGTCTCATTGTGGTTTGGGTTTGCATTTGCCGGATATATACATATATATTATATATATATATGATATATATGTGTGTGTTTTATATATGTAAATAATATATAACACACACATATATATAGAACAATATATATATATACATACATATATATATATATATATATATATATATTTATTTTGATTTTTTTTTTTTTGGTACCTGGATTGAACTCAAGGACACTCAACCACTGAGCCAGATCCCCCAGAACTTTTTTTTGTAGTTTGTTTAGAGACAGCATTTCACTGAGTTGCTTAATGCCTCACTGTTGCTGAGGCTGGCTTTGAATTCAGATCCTCCTGCCTCAACCTCCCAAGCCCTGGGATTTCAGGCATGCAAGACCTTGTTGGCTACTTTTATCTTACTTGGAGAACCGTCTTTTCAAATCTTTTGTCCATTTTTATTGTATTATCTGTTATTTTATTATTAAGTTGTAATAGTTCCTTATATATTCTAAATACAAATCCCTAATCAGGTATATGATTTGTGAAAATTTTCTCCCATTCTGTGGGTTGTCTTTTCATTTCTTTCTCCTGATCCCCCAGTGCTGGGGATTGAACTCAGAGATGAGCTATCACTGAGTTACAGTACTAGCCCATTTTATTTTTTGTTGGTTAGTTGGTTGGTTTTGGTATTGGGGATTGAACCCAGGGATGCTTTACCACTTAGCTACATTCATAGGCCTTTTTTATTTTTTATTTTGAGGCAGGGTCTCACTAAGTTGCTTAGGTCCTCACTAATTTACTGAGGCTGGTCTTGAACTTGCAATTCTTCTGCCTCAGCCTCTTGAGTTGTTGGGAGTGTGCACCACCATGCCCTGCTCTTTTCATGTTCTTTTTTTTTTTTTTTTTTAAGCTGTAGATGGACAGCATGCCTTCGTTATATTTGTTTATTTTTTTAATGAGGTGCTAAGGATTGAGCCCAGTGCCTCAAACACTCTGCCACTGAGCCACAATACCAGCCCAGCCCCTTTTTTCACATTCTTATGTCCTTTTAAGAACAAAACTTTTAAATATCTAACTTTTCTTTTTTATTTGTTTTTATTTTTGTTATTTTGTTTTATGCATCTTAACTAAGAAACTATTGCCTAATCCAAGGTCATGAGAACTTAATCCTATGTTTCTTCTGGGTATAATAATTTTGGTTCCTACATTTAAGTCTTAGATTCATATGGAATTAATTTTTATATGGTGTGAGAAAGGGATCCAATTTCATTCTTTTGATTATGGCTATCCAGTTATCTCAGCACAATTTGTTGACCAAACTATTCTTTCTTATTGAATTGTGTTGGTACACTTGTTGAAAAGTCAATTTCATGATGAATTTTCTTTTTCTTTTGTTCTTTTTTTTTTTTTTTCCTCATACTAGGAATTGAACCCAGGGTATTCTACCACTGAGCTACATTCCCAGCACCTGCCTTTTCTTTTAATCTTGAGACAGGGTCTCACCAAGTTACTGAGACTGGCCTCAAATTTATAATCCTTTTGCCTCAGCTTCCCAAGTCACTGGAATTACAGGTGTGTACTATCACACTTGGCTCATGATGAATTTTCTAAATAGTGTACTTTCGAATAATGGAAATATTCACTTTCAATTATTTCTGCAGCATGTAAGTGTTCAGTCAATATTGAAAATGGCGGAAAGACAGATATAGAGCAGCATATGCTAACAGCTAAGCATGAAAGATATGGGATTCCTTCAACTTGTACCAAAGGAAAACATAAAAACATTTTTTTTTTCTTGTACCAGGGATTGAACCCAGGAGCACTTAACCACTGAGCCACATCCCCAGCACTTTTTATATTTTATTTAGAGACAGGGTCTTGCTGAGTTGCTTAGCCTCACTAAATTGATGAGGCTAGCTTTGAACTTATCATCCTCCTGCCTCAGCCTCCGAAGCCACTGAGATTACAGATGTGCACCACTGCACCCAGCCTAAAACAACAAAAATTTTTTTGAGATTCCAATGAAGGTAAAATAATCACAGCAGAAGTTGTAATGGCTTCCCACATTATTCTTGTCATCAGTCTTTTGGCTCAAACAATCCTTTGAATGCACTGTTACCAGAAGTTTGTGGTTTGTTTATTTGTTTTTTGGTACTGGGTCTTGAATCCAGGGGCCTTAACCACTGAGCCACATCCCCAACCCTTTTTATTTTTTATTTTGAAACAGGGTCTCACTAAGTTGCTTGAGGCCTCACTAATTTACTAAGGCTGGCTTTTGAACTTGGAATCCTCCTGCCTCAGCCTCCTGAGCCCCTGGGATTACAGGTATGCATCACTGCATCCGGCAACCAGAAGTACTTTCTATTTCCAAGACTACAAGCAAATTTTCAGATGCCAGGACAAAATATATTGCAGTAATGAAAACTGTAATAACTCCATTCACTGCTGCAGTTAATTATAAAGGTCTAAATGCCTCACCTT